ACTGGGAAAAAAGGAAATTCCAGGGCCCTTTGACAAGGAGGTGCTTCTTTGAGCTGCAGCAGTGCCTGGTTAGGGAGTGACTCTGTGGGGAGATGGAAGATGGGGAGATGTCATCCTGCACCTCAAATCCTACAGAAAATGTTACACCTCCCTCATGCCTTCCCTGTGATCCAGGAAAGCAAGGAGAAACTCAGCTCTGTTCTGGGGTGGAGAAAGGGTCACGGTGGCTGGGAATAAAAGTTCATCTCAGATCACGGAGCTGAAAGATGCCTGGGAAATATTTCATCCTGTGTTGAGAGAATCATGGAATCCCAGAATGATTTGGGTTGGAAAGGATCTTAAAAATCATCCAGTTCCACCCCTGCCATGGGCAGGGACACCTTCCACTATCCCAGGGTGCTCCAAACCCTGTCCAGCCTGGCCTTGGACACTTCCAGGGATCCAGGAACAGCCACAGCTTCTCTGGGCATTCTGTGCCAGGGACTCTCCACCCTCAAAGTTAAGAATTTCTTCTTAAAATAAAATCTAAAACTCCTTTCTTTTAGTTTTAACCCATTTTTCTTTGCCCTGGCACTCCAGGCCCTTGCCCAGAGTGCCCCCCCAGCTCTCTTGGAGCCCCTTCAAGCACTGTAAGGAGCTCTAAAGTCTCTCTGGAGTCTTCTCCAGGCTGGGCACCCCCAGCTCTCCCAGACTATTTTCAGGAGAGAAAACTGCCTTTCTCTATGCACACTAAAGTCAGACCAAATATTTCCAGTTTAAATGAACCCCACATCCCAATGCTGCAAGGCTGTGGGGTGGTGAAATCTCACCTGACACGGCCCACGATGAACCTGAGACAGCATCACTGAGAAATGCAAGGCAGCCAAGCCAGCAGCTCCCACCACCTTGATGCCTTAGGATTTTTAGTTTCTGCATTTTCATGCGTCTGTATTCTTGTATTTCTCTAGTACAGAACGGTAAAAACTACCATTCTCTCATCTTTAGACAAAACAATTCCTCTCTGAGCCTGAAATCCAAGGACACTTTGCTGCCTCAGAGCCCCAAAATATGGAAACAACAGAGAATTGGAGGGAGTAAGTTTGGGGTGGTTGACATTATCACCTGTAAAGATCATTGGAGAATTAAAGCCCAATATGTTAAAAAGGCAGAACTTATAAAAGGTGAAGATCTCATGACTCAGTGACCATTTTGGGTGTAGCCTCAAGAGGAGGCTTTGTCTGCCCCAATGTACCAGTAGGCCTGTTAGGCCTGGATTAAAGTTGTCAATTCTCATTCTCTTAAATTTGTCTGGCCTATATTTCAGATTAGCCTGATTAATACGATATCAACCTCAGCAACACCTTCCAAAAACCATCTCAAACCCAGGGAAGAGCAAACACCTCAGCACGAAGCCACATTCCTGTTTTGTGATCCTCACACCTGAATGTTTTCCCAGACATGGGGTGTTCCATGTGTGGAGAGAAAGTTAAAAAAAAAATGATAATAACAAAAATCACCACTGTGGAAAGAAGTCTTTACWCAGAGGGCTGCAATTTGGGGGTTTGGATGAAAATGTCACCTCAGGGTGTCCAAAATAAGGGCTTTCAGCTGACAGCCCCCTCCAGGAGTTGCCTGGGCAACTGCCAAACATTGTGACATTTGCGACACACACCAGTCCCTGTGCCTGCAGCTACCCTGCATTTAACAGCTCCAAACAACTCATTAGCTTGTTTGCTTTCTGCCCGTGTGAGCAATCTGGCCTGAGCRGGGACAGAAAGCCCAGAAAATGGTGATGGTAGCAGGAAACCACGCTGCTGTTTGGAAGCCATGGGTAGATCACAGCCATCTGCTCTGCTGCAGCTCTGAGCACCCAGCCTGGGCCAGGCTGATCCTGGGAGCTCTCTGATGATTCCTGAGGGTCAGCAGAGATTTCTGCTCTCCCCTTGATGCCTCTGGAGGATGCCAGGTGCCAACGAGCATCTTTTCCTTGTGGAAAAGCCAGGATGGAGCTGTGGTTGAGTGTGTGGATCCTCTTGTTCCTGCATCACCCATGCCAGCCCTGCTCCTCCCATCTCATTATCTGCATTGCTGCTGCTCAGACTCTTCCACCAGATAAGGGGGTTTTTTTTGTATGTTTTGATTTGTTTTGGGTTGTTTTTTTTTTTTTCCCAGCTGCATCATCAGTGCTGCTGGGCAGAGCTGCTCATTACCAGTCTGTTGTCACCATGGACAAGCCTGTTCTCTGAGGGCTGCACATTTTCATACCAATTCTGTATAAAATTTCATGCCTTTACCATTTCTGGAACTTTCTGGTGCTCAGCACCACTCAGGAGGTCACAGAATYACAGAATGGCTTGGAAGGGATMTTAAATCCCATCCAGTTCCAACTGGWCACCYTCCCCTAGACCAGRCTGCTCCAAGCCCTGTCCAGTCTGGCCTTGAAAATATGTAGAAGAATCTCAAGTAAATCTCTGTTAGACAGGTTTTTGTGAGAACGAAGTCATGAATTGCTGTTACTGAGCAACCCAGACTRCAAGATAGAGCAGAATAAAATAGAAGAAGATGGGAAAGWGRAGGACGTGACTACAGCAGTGWAACATGTACCTCGCGCTGACCATGAAGAAGAAACATAGTAAAAAGCAAAAACAAAAARSMAWTKRAAAAMMAWWA